ACCAAAAAGTAGGGAATGTCTTATTTTGTACCTGATAAAATGCATAGATATGATCTAACACCTGCAAGCATGTAAACCCATTATTGCTGAAAAATGTTCTGGAAGATGGCCCCATCTCAGCAAATCGGTCAAGAGGGAACAGTATGGTAAGAAAATGGTTTTTAAATACCAATTCAGATTTCTCACTGCAGACAAACAAATAAAAGAGAACTACTGTGAGATGATATAACATTTGGGCAAATATTTTCTTTTACATTTTGGGAGGGGGTTGGGGGTGGGAAGGAAGAGAGAGATCAACAACCTTTCCTTGAGCAGCCTCGTTAAGTTTGCAAATGAAGCTTCTGAATCCTTGCCATCAGCTTTTGCATCAAAGAATACAGATGTATGGTGCTCGGTAGCATCTTCAACACTGACATTCTCGGTGTAGATTGACGCGGTTGAAGTTGGTTCAGATATGGACCAGCAGATTGAATCCAGAAGGCTGATAGGGGTTATTGGACGCATTGGGGTTTGGCAAGTCTGCGAGAACAGAGCACAAAATTAAAATGGTGTACTAAGATCACCTATTTTCTCTTATAAAACTACCATTAGCAACAAAAGTAATCAGTTCATTGAAGCTGTTAACATTATGCAAGCACTGAAAAATCCTCATGGGCCCCTAACAGACATGAACAAATAGAAACGTAGCCAACTACAAAACTGATCGTTAACTTGTACTACAATGTTCTCATTTGTGTGATACATTCCAAATTAAGCTCATATAAAGTAATTGTTTAAATTTGAGCAAAACCATGGTGCATAAGCGATTATCATATCAAACTAAACAAGAAGCATAGATTGATGAAATACCACAGATAACCAAACCTGATAGAGCATTACCTGCATACGAAGACCACGTCGATTTCTGACCCCAGCTTTAGCAGAATTCACAATTCGTTGTCTCTTTTCATGGTTTGCTTTATTTTTATAAGCTTGAACATCTTTGGGGACATTTCGCACATTAGTTTCCTAGTAAATCAATAAAAGAATATTGTCAAATATCAACTTGGACACACCAAAATCATAATACTACATATATAAAAATGGTATCATTTGAAGAATGTTTAAAGGCATTCACCAGCCACCAATCACGAGTTTATTAAGATTTGAGATAATTGTGAAACCTTTTCAATTATCGTAGGTATATTATTTTAAGTTAAACCATAGCAGCAAAAGATACACCTTGTTAACAGTTTTTTTTTTTGGTTAAAAATTATAAAAATATCTAGACCTGAAACCATGGGTTTGGGGCAGAAAAGAGTTAAAAATCACTGCAAAACAAATCATTTTCACAAAAATGTGTAGAAAGAAACCTCATCTGCACTGCCATTCTGCGACTCTTCAAGCATCATACCAACTTGCCTGGCCAAATCTGCAGACGTGTGCACAAGCCTTTGCACATACTTCTCTTTGGCTGTTTTCAAGACCCACAGTGGCTGAGACAAATCAAACACCAAATAAAGTTCATTGCAACAAAAGAAATATACAGAGCACTCCGTCATCTCTAAATTTGCAAGTAATTTCATCAATTCTACGAACAATAGGAAGACAGCAAAAAGTTATTATAGAAGGACATCCGAAATAGTCAAGTGTGAAAACACTTCACTCCGAAATAGTTATTATGTATATTTATCAATAAAACTAGAGTGTAAATAGAGCAGATTCAAATAAACCAAAGGATTCTTTGTAGGACTCACTGTAACGATATTGCTAGAGTGGCCAAGATATTTACGGCTAGCAGAGCCTTCACACACTACATGACTGGCTCTGCAACCAACAAACCATTGATCAATTAACGTAACACCCTCTCTACGAGCAGCCTCAATAACCTGCCAAATAGGACAAATGATGTTGAGAGAAGCTCAGGGAAACTGTACAAACTGAGAGGGCTTCACCTCACCATTATCTAGTTTGACATTGGAAAAAACCCAGCAAATCTTTCTTATACAGCTAAAACAAGAAGAAAGAAAAAATATATTTTGTTTTCAAAGTAACTAAGCAATTTTTTTCCTAGAAATAATTTTACCTTGTTCCTCAGTTCAGATGAAATGTCTAAGTCGACATACATGGAGTGACCAGACAGAACAGAGTCAGTACTTCTGTTAGACTCCCTTCCAGAAAAGGGGAGATGTGGTTCTTCAATCGTGTCCAATGGCTTGGCTCCACGAGCATCGACAGGAATACACGAATTTTCTGTACTGATAAACCCAACAAGCCTGTTGAACTCATCCAACCGTATACCATTCTGTCCAAAACTCTTGATACTGTAAAGTGATTCACTCAACCTCACTGCAACACACAAAAGAAACTGGATTTAGACTAATCAAGTAACATATACCATTTGAGTGGGTTTTCACCTAACCAATGCAGAAAATATACACCGGCCTCTCTTACCATTCTTCCTAACACTATCCACAAACCAGCCAATCGTAACAATCGACAGACCATTTTTTAATCCATGCTTCAAAGCATGCTCAAACTTGCGTCCACCAAAGCTGTAACACTTGTTAAGGATTGCACACGACTCACGAGCCTTACAATTTACACAAATAATAACACCACATGTATTAAATATTTTCTTCTTGGTGCCGGTATAACACATATATCAATGCTGTCAACCCTCCCAAAGAAAATTGAGATTTTTCTCCCCAATATATATTTAGAGTGGTGATTTCCCCACTCCTTTTTCTTCTATTTTATCCACTTACACTCCTTTTTTATGTACCAAGAAAATGAAGCTAGAAGTAACATAATTTTGAAAAGAAAGGATATTTGGACCACCAAATGGGTACATTGAGGATGTAAGTGAGGGCTGTACTGGCCACCTAATCTCTCAGTTGCTTCCTTGACCTGTTTCCTTGCTTCTGACAAAACAAGAATGAGAAAGATGAACAGATGCATATTTTAACAATAACACTTATTTAATACGTCACATAGAAAACCAGCAGCTACAAGTTGAAGGCTTATCTTTTTACCTTTGGATAGACCAGTAACGCAAATAACAAGGCCGGCAAAGGGTGCGCCTGATCGAACCACATGCTCTGACCCAATAGAGGATGAGGCCGGAGACGCGGGCTCAAATGGTTGCAGAGCTTTAAAAGAAGGCAATGGAGATGATAACCCAACAGACAGCCTAGAGCAACCATTGCTCTTTACCACTTCCACTCTACCACCACCACCACCCATTACAAATTAACCATTAACCACCAGGTCTCTGTTCAAGTTTTTGATAAAAACTTACAAAACAAATGTTACAGACAAAGAGATTGATGTCTGTGTTCTTGAAATTGAGAAACTCGACCAAATCTTAAAAGGGTAACCAAGGAAAAGGACGAGGAACAGGAATTGATTGGTGCGCGGGAAAAAAAAAGGAAAATATATTTCGAATAAACTAACAATTGAGTGAACCCAATTAAGTTGAAGAAATGAAAGAAATGAAATGACCCAGAAATAAAAATTGAAGGAAAAAACAAGTGAAAGTGTTTTCAAAGATGGAGGAATAAGAATCTTATTGGAAAGGGAAGATAAACAAACAAAAGTGGCAGTGGAAAGAGGCAGAGAAAAAGACTGAGATTCAGAGGCTGTGCAGACGAAGAGTGAATTTTGAAGACTGCATAGTAAATTCGCTTCTTTGGGTTTCCGAACAAACGAAATGACTGAATGAATCTAAAGGTTGAGTCTTCAGAGGGCGAAAAAATCGATTTTTTGAATGACGTGCTCTGTGTTTATGAGTTTTGAGTTACTTTATTTGCCTTTTTCGCAAAATGGGTTCGAGATAAAAAGTGAGAGAAACGGGAATTGCAATGCAGGCAAATTCAAAGTACCAGAGACAGACAGAGAGGCAGCACACTCGGTCAAAAGCTTTTGTTTCCTCAATTGGGCCCCTAATTCCGCTGGAACTACAATTTTACCACTCTCTCGTGTATTATGGGTTTGGGTCTCATAACAACCAATCGGGCCCCACCACTGACAATAATATCAAAAAGTGGGCCTTAATTAATTCGATTTAAATTTCTTGACAAAAAAAAAAAAAATTTGATTTCGATTTTTCTGCTTAGCTTAATATGCATATCGATATGGGTTTTGTTAACGGCAATCCCACAAGCGATTGATTAAATGCGTGTCTCATAGTGATTTACGTCAAAATTTATTCACGTGCATGTGCGTGTGTGACAAAGAATAGCGTCTCATATTTATTATTTGTATGAAACTACTAAATGGATGGACTTGTATAGCAACATGATATCAACTGAAAAATGACTATAATGTGTTAATACATGCATGCAAGACACAATCAATCACAATAACAAAACCAAGTAATTCAATGCCAAAGTGACCATCTTGATCTTGATTAGATTCATAACATGTATTGACAAAAAAATCAAACCCACTAATCAAGTCTTGTGTCTCTCTCAAAATTAATCAACTATTTATAAGTGATGGTTGGAAATGGTTCACATAATATAAAGGGTGAGGTGAGGAGAGATATTTGGGTGGAGGATGATCTATAAAAAAGTTCATGCACACAATTGACAATGCATTGGTTGGTACCACATCTGAAAGAAACATGGTGGACATTTTTTGTGGTCAGTGATCACAGAAAAAAGTTAGTATTATTTATTTGGTTCAGTGGGGTGGAGGAGTTCTTGGAAATTCAATTGCTGTCGTTTCAGATTACAGTCCTTTTCCATGATCTCCTTCAATTTGACACCTCTGGGTCACCTAAAAGTTGACCCAAATTCTTTAATAAGGAAACTGTCATACGAAGTGACTGTTGAGGTGTAACGTGCAACCCATAAACAAATAAATAATCTTGTGGTTGACTGACTCGATGGCAACCATTTAGATAAGCAATTAGTCATGTCATCTTAAGCTGTTCATAGTCATGGATAATCGAAATGAACGGCGGAAAGAGAGCTGATGCCAGCAAAATTTAATAATAGTAGCATTTGCTATTAGTCTTGTTGGAGAAAAAATTTATAGCTAGGAAAGTGATATTATATAGTCTGAAAATACTTTGGTGAATATGAACAAAAAGGATGGCAACCTGGTTAGAAAAAAAGAGAAATGAAAGTGAAAATATGGGACACAACACAACAATCACTGTCCAACAGTGGCTTTTTCTCTATGAATTGAGGCGAGCAGTGGCAGCACTATCGTAACACTCAGTCACTCAATCTTCTTGGATGTGCAGACTTTTCTGACAATATCAGATTTCAATTTGCATCCACGAGAGAGAGCTTCTAGGACCAGGGCATCAATTTTTTGCTCTTCCTTCTCATACACGTAGAAAACTACAAAGGCGGCAGGAACCCCTGGAACAGTAAGACAATAAGGAAACTAAGAACTTTTTTAAGGCCTCAACTACCAAAGAATAAGTATGGCAGTCCAAAGAAATATGTAACTTGAGAGATCGAGAGAGAGAGACCTATGACAAATAAGTTCCGAAGTGAAACGGTCCCGAGGAAGCTGATAACCAATAGGGAGAGAGCAACCTACAACATCACCATTAAATATAGAGTAACCGTCAGAAACGAGGAGAGGTGCAACACTAAAAATCACTTCGAGAAAGTTCTGGGAAAATGTTGTCTCCCTAGTATATGCATTCTGGACCTCTTTAGGCACACTCTATCCTAGTGTTAGAACTTAAAAGTAATGCATCAATGCAGTACATGAACTTATACGCAATCAAAAGAATAGATAGCAGGAAGCACAAAAGAAGACGGGAGCAGCAGAGCAATACCTTAATGAACAATAACCCATCGTTTCCCTTGCCAAGAGATTTTAAAGTTCTAACAGATGCATTCCATGATGAGGCTACCAATCTGGTGATTTGTTTCGACGTCTCTTCTGATAAGTAGAAATGTGACGAATCAAGCTTCTCAATTTTATACCCTAATCTGGAACAGTGAAATTTTATTTGTAGTTAGTAGTTAGCTTAACTTCAAATTGAGAGCTGAGCAAAATAGACATTTTCAAACCAAGCAGCATATGAATATATACAAGAAGGTCATAGGCCATACATCTTTTCTGGTAAACTGGCATGGATGAACACGAATATTGAAGCTGCCAGAAGAAGCTTTGAAAGAATAGTAATTATTGTAGATCCGGTTACAATGAAGTTGTAGTAGATTGCAATCAAAACTAATAACGCCTTGCAGGTTTGCTTTTTATCCTTCCAGAGTAACGTGTCAGCAACTGTCAAAGGCAACAGCAGTAAATGCATTGCTTCATTTATTGCAATATTTGAGTGCATGCATACTGTTATTCTCTCATGCCGACTCAATCATAAGGATGTCATTATGCCTGTTTTTGGTGAACCTTTAGAAAACATCAAATAAGATGAATAGAAACTGATGAGTCATACCCATCCCGCTCCCAAGATATATAGAAGCTTTAGATGGCCCTTCTCTTTTACGTGGTTGTTCAGCCCTCAAATGTGGGTATGACTCGATTGTCCTTTTCAGACCCTCCTGCAGAAAGTATGCATCGCATTGTCACAAGAGAAGCACCTAAACCAGAATTTGGGCAAAAATGTACAGTGACAGGCTGACTGCTTAGACATTTGTAAAGCCTCATTAATAAGTGCAAATCAATAAGAGAGATGTTTGAAGCAATACTCTCTACTTTAATTACAGCACAAACAACATCCTAATCAAAGATTCACAATTTCATGGCATATTGATGTAGTACAGCTCGTAGGTATTAGATTAAGCATCCAAACAATAGAACATAGAAGAGTATAAGAGATCGAGGAGACGAAAATATAGATCGAAAAGACGAAAGAAAGGGTAGAACAGTAGAACAGTAGAACAAGAAGAATATTGGAGGTTGGGGAGACGAAAATATAGATCGAAGGGACGAAAGAAAGGACAGAAATCACATAGTTTTAAGAGAAGGTTTACTCAATATCCAAATCTGAATTTTAAAGAACTACATGGGGGTATTTATAGCAAACTAAAACCTAGACATAATAGGATAAAAATCACTTGCTTAAACGGAAATCATAACCCAAATAAAATAGGAAACTTAAAACTAGAAATCTGGAAATCTGGAAAAGTAGAAATCCTACTAGAATTTGAAAAACTAGAGAATCTAGGAAACTAACAAATATATTAGGAAACTAATAAATTTAGGTCCTATGCGTCCTGCATCACATATACTGGCAACTTTCATTCAGACAGACGCTTGAAGTGTATTTATAGCTGGCTCAAAGTGTCAAAAGTCTAACTTATGATGGTTAACTTTTTGCTAGCTCACTATATGAATTCATCAAATACCAAATAACCAAACAGGTCAGCAGTCATGCAACATGAAAAGGCGGTATAGGTATGAAAAAAAGGAAGACAAAATGTAAATATTGTATTCCCGGTGTCAAGTGACATGTTCATTAAGAAATGAAGACCAATGAAGTAGAAGAAATGAAGTATTAATAGAGTCCGAGTCTGCACCCCAAAATAGCATGCATGGTCTTGTCTAAGGACTTTCCCATAATGTTTCCAAATTTTTTTGGTTGAATTCGATAATCTGCTGATTAAAAGTGGAGAGGTATACAATCAAGGTGGATACATGTGGTTGGATGTTCCAGTGACTCTGCTAAGTTCAATTCAATTCATTAACAAAAGGACTTATGACTCTATGTATGAAACATTATAGAACCTGAAGTGATACGATGGGTGTGTAGCTGATTCGATCCTGTGCTTTTGAACATTTAAAAGATCTGCTGCAAGAGAGGAGTCTAACTCTTGAAGGGGTCAACTGTGGAACTTTCATTCCATATGGGCCCAACAGCTTATATGTGCACTCCACCACATGTGCAATTGGCATCACAACAAAGGCAGGGATTTTTATTCTTGGCCTGCAAACAATACCCATTCAGGGAAAATGGAAACCAAGAAACAAAAATTGCAGGTTATTCAATTATATAAAAAATAGGAATTAAAGCCTTACAGGTAGTATGAAGAAGGGCCATTAAACATAGGCTCTGAGGTGTAAGTTAGGATATACATCATTCTTTTAGTAGTGATGGAGGACTACAGTGATTACATCCCAGGTATGCTTAAAATGAAAGGATTAAGAAAAAGAAGTACCTTTCATAGCCAAGACCTTCTAGAATAAGTGAGACAAACTCCCAAAAATTGATAGGTTCCATATTGGTTATAAAATATGCCTGCAAAAGCAATCTCTTTTAGCTAGAATGCCAAAATAGTCTCTGTATACTTTAGCTTGATATCAAGCGGACATGCGAAGTAACTTTTAAAAGACTGCCAATCTTTTAAAGCAAACATAAGGATGCAAGACTCTGCCATCTTTTAAATTCAAGCCTCACGGTAAAACAATTGCACTTGAAGTTGGAATTGTTTGATTCCCCCTCTATAAGAAAGTTGGACTTGGAAGAAGATAAAAATTAAGCAAAGAAAAATAAAACTGAAATCTCTCTCTCTCTCTCTCTCTCTCTCTCTCTCTCTCTCTACATATAGTGTTGGAATACCTGTCCGGCAGCTTTTTCTGCAACTGTCCCTTCTGATGCTAGAGCTCGCTCTGCACATATATGGGCATGTGCCACATTTTCAACATATGTGAAATCATAAATGTTATTGCCATCACCAATAATGAACTGTTCATTCGAAAAAAGAAGAGAAAAAAGTGAGCATTAGATATTGTTGAAGGAGGACTTTATTAACACTGTTGCAAGGAAGACGAATGTGTAAAGTATCACCAACTTACTTACCTTGGATTTCCCTGCTCTGGCGGCAGCCACTAAAGATGGAACCAGCAACCTATCACCAGGTCCAAAAATGCTGCTAGGGCGTATACAACATGTTAGAAGCCCCTTAACACCATTTGCCTTGATTACCAATTCTTCTCCTTGGGCTTTAGTTGCCGAATAGAAATCATTGTGCTGAAACCAGTCATACAACACAACCCAGAATTATATACGTACTGAAATACAATTTTGCATTGCTGAGATTCATTCAATTAGCAATACTAGTACCTCAGGTGGACACGGCAAAGACTCCTCCCCATCAAAAATCCCATGAATCCCATCAAAGACAACACTAGGAGAGCTAGTATAGATAAGTCTCTTTACTTTTAGCTCGGTACAAGCATCAATTACATTCTTAGTTCCTGCAAAGCATTAAGCATAGAACATTGCATAAACCCCAACAGTCCAAAATTCAAAGCAAACAAAAAAAGAAAAGAAAAAAAGGCAACATTTTGATTGTGTACCTTCCACATTGACCGAGTGATGGAGCTGGTAGTTGTTGATGGAAGAATTGGGAGCCGCCATGTGGAACACGACCTCAGCTCCTTGAAATGCTACAGATTGAATGCAGACGAGCACGTAAGATTGAATTACGCAATACAAACTAGCCGCCATTAATACAATTTCAAGCTTGAAGGAGAATACTGACCTTGAAGAACTTGGCTCTTGCTGCGGAGGTCAATGGCCACGTACTGGGCGCGACCGGAGCTCAAAGCTTCGGCGAGAATGCCATTTTCCTCATAAGGTTCTAGATCAACGGTGGAGCCGAGGTCGGCGATTCGGACCCGAAACACATCGTATCGGATCAGCATCTGAACCAAATGGCGAGCTGCGAAGCCTCGGCCGCCGGTCACCACGCACCATTTCCCGTCCCCAGACATAGCAAGAAGAAGAAAGTGGTGATTGGGAAAAGTGAAGCCAATAAGGATCTGAGAGTGGGACTGTGAGTCTGAGTAAGCAAAGAGACGAAGAAGATGACGGAAATTCCGGGAGAATGAGATGGAAAATCAGAGGAATCTAGTTGACGACGGATTATACATGAAGATTCGTTGATGACCCACGCCAATCAGCCCAAAATCAACCCGATTTATTTGGGATTGTGGCCCAAAATAATAAACTGGGCCTTGGAACGTTGGCGCAATAATAGCTTTTTGACCAAAAAACACTGAGATTTTCTATTTAAACCCCACACTTCTCTTAGTTCACCCCATGTTCTAAGTTCACCCCAACTTTTAATTTAAATTTTCACAATTTCTAAATAAACCCCATTATCTTCCCAAACTACCCTTAAATACACCACAAGATGAAAAAATAAGAAATAAAAGAGATTTTCTATTTAAACCCCACAAGCTACCTTTAGAGGAGAAAATAAGTTTTTTTCTACTGCTGAAGCAGCAACCGAAAGGCCAGATACGTTAGCCTTTTGGTAGAATCACCGACACAGTGAGATTCCAGTCAACGGAGATGCCTAACGGCCACTTTGGTCCTCCACACCTCAAGCAAGAAACGAAGCCGAAGAAGAAAGGGTTTGGGGTCGTAAGATGACACACTAGCTAACAATCCGCCATGTGCTATATCATAGGCATATATGGAATAACTTTTGATTCCTAATATACTTTCACTTTCTTACAATAAAATCATGAAAAGCGGGTGATGTATTTTTTTAAAGAATAATTCCAAAACAAAAAAGACTATAACAAATTCATGGTTGATAATAGCATGCCTATAACACGGAGGATGCTGACTTAAAACGGTTGACCAAAAGACTAAGACTTGCCTCACTTCCTCTTCCATTCCCTAGCCTAGAATACATAAACCATGTCTACTGCTGAAGCAGCAACCGAAAGGCCAGATACGTTAGCCTTTTGGTTGCTAAACAAACTCTACTTATAAATAAGTGAGGAGAACAGGCAGACTTATGTAGAAGTTAAGCATTTTAGCTTTCCTTCTTTCAGAAGCAAAGGTATCCTGAACATGAAATGTTTTTTAATCAGAAGATAGTGTTCAGAGTGAATCCAGAGCTACTAACATTTTATTTGGACATCAGCATATCAACATATGGTAACCTCATCCAAAAAACAGATTAGAATAGCAGAAAAACAATCAAAATATCAATATGTTGACAGCTAATAGATGGAATATATATATATATATGTATGTATGTATCAAATTAGAAAAACAATATTTCAGCTATCACTCAACTGGAAAAATTGCAACATGATATTGGGTGAGATAAAAACATGTACAAACAAAACTGAACAAATATAAACTTCATGCTCATCAAATTAAAAGGTACAAAACAAATTTGATATCTTTCCATACAATGGTTATCCCAAGCCTAATTGTAGTAGAATCAATATTCAATTCATTCTTATATACACTTGGAATGACTAAGAACTTTCATCTTCAGTCCTAGCTCCAGTTATGGAACAAAAGCAATTCATTAACCTGGAGGCATTGTCATATTTAAGGGGAGAACATAAGCTGATCTATCAAAACCTATCCCACAGCCAGCTAGAACACAGAAAATGGATGAGAAACCTCACCT